AGGGAAAAAAACTGATACCCTTAATTGATGATTCCATAACTCTCAATTCCGTTAGGATCTCCTACTCAAATTTTACAGGTAATTACTACTCTCAAAAATATATAATATCACATGAGTATTTAAAATATAAATACTTCATTATTTTCTTCAGATCATTGCTCCAAACAACACAAAATACCATATTCTGTAGAGTGTCTTTTCGGTGTTTGAACATGCCAATAATTATCCCGGAGGTGTATCACTTAACCACAAAAGCCTTTGGCTTTCCTATATTTCATTACAAAAATAGTGAAATAAAAGAAATAGGGCAGCCAGTGAATCTAGCTCTGATACTACTAAAAGTATGACTATGTGATCAAGCACGGCGTAAAAATTTTCTTATTTTTTCTTATTCTTACATAGGCAAGACCACTCATAATGTCTAATTATAAATAAATAACTCTTCAAACAACTAAAGAAAAGAAGAGAAACATGGTTCTCACTTGCTACCACTATTGAATAAAATTCCTTAAATCAAATCCTTAACTCATTTATTTATATGAATAAAAGAGTTCAACATAAAAATAAAATTTAAAGGAGTAAAAAATGGCTTGAGTTTACCTTAACCGGGCTTAGTACACCCCATACCGAGTCTCTTCCTTTCGATGGTGCTTGGGATCTATGATCGAATTCTTAATTCTCCCACTTATGGTAAAACTTTCTCAAAAGCATATGGATCTCGATCTATAAGTAACTACTTAAGGCCTCAATGTCTTAGTTTTACTCAAGCCCCATTTGCTTGATTTTTAGAGAGATAAGAGATAGAAATGAGAGAGAGAGAGAGAGAGAGATCTACTAGCTAGGGGATACTCCCCTTTGCTACCCACAAATCAATATCAATCTTAGCATGAACATGCCCCTATAGAAACCCAAGAGAGAGTGAGATACTAAGTAGAGGCATGCCTCTTTGCTTTGCTTAAGAGAGATAGAATTCTTAGAGAGAGAGAGGAGAGAAGAGGTGTCGAGATTTGGTAGGGGGAGAGTCTATTTTTATAGATTTTTTATGCTTTTAGGGTTTGCCTCAATTCGTAAGGTCAAATCTTGACCGTTGATCTGAGGAAACTTATGGGGTGAGATATTGGAGTCATCCATTCCTTAGATCTACTATCAAGATTCAAGGAATGTGTTAGAACCTTATCCTTCATTTCCTAAACCTATTCCCATCAAACATTTAAATAAGAAAAATACTACTCATACTTTCTAATTTAGTAAATATGTATTCCTTACTCTTTCAATCAAACAATCTTGACATTCCATTCTTATTTCAATCAAAATCTCTATAAAACACTTTCCATAAATCTTCATTTGAATTGACTACCTTGATTCACAAGATTAGAAAATAAGAAAGTACACCCACTAAATGGGGTGTGTCACCCATGGGGCCCCTATGTAGACCCCACACACATCACAATGGTGGACTTGGAGGGCCCCCATGGACTGTCAAATATTTATGAATTAAAATGACTTTTAGAAATAAGTTTTATTTTCTCTTTGATTATTGAAAACATTGAAAATTGATTTTCTCTTATTTTACAAATTCAAGTATCAAAAAATAAAATATCAGAAGATTCATAAAAATTCAACCAAACATTCTAAAAATTATGTAACATAAAATTAATTGAAAATTAATTTTGATGGGGATTATATCCCTCTAGGTTTAGAAATTTATCAATGCACTTGAGCACTCATCAACGGGCACCTAATAAAAATATTAAAAAAATAATTCATAAAATATAAATTGATCAAAATATCCCTACAATATTTCAGAGGTATTTTGGTCAATTTATTTTTCACAAAATATATTTTTGGATATTTTTAATGGATTTTAACATTTTTAAAGAAGACATCCAAAATTTCAATTGCTTTGGATTTATATAAAAAAATTAAAATTAAAATACGAAATGCAATCGTGATCATTGAGTCGGTCTAGATTAAATCTAAGCTGTTGAGCATAT